CTTCAGGATTTTCAAAGAATGTTTTTAGTTATCTCTGAGTAACACAGCACACCAAAGAGTTTTCCCCGTTGTCAAGGCCAAATACCCATCGTGACCATTTTAGTCCTTTTCCTAGTGTGACTTCATCGAGCCCTGGGTCCCTGTCGTGTTTATAATGCCTTAGCATTTACTGACATCTGTTTTTCTCCAGTGAATTAAAAATCTGTGAATAATAATTTTGGTAGTTGTTGAGAATTCTGGCCCCCAACTAATTCCATTTAAATGGAGGAACTCTCTAGAGATCTAATGGTAATGTTTACATATAATTAGTTTGTTGAGGAGTCTCATCTTGTTGGGGTTTATGCCTACATAAAATGGTTTTATTTTCCCTACTCACTGCATTCAACTGTATTGTGTTGAATCCTACTTTCCTGCTGGGAAGCTAGTTTCTTAGCAACGTCTAATTTCCTGTCATTTTCAATTATTAGTATGGTCTCATTTGGGTATTTAAGACCTAGTCCTGTTCATTTAAAAAAAGATTAATATCAAACTTGATTTAACATGTATCCTCTCTCCACTTCAGTTATTGGTAGTTGTGTGTGTGTGTACTCTGGTTCTCAGGAACATTTTTTTTCCTTCTAGGACCTAGTTCCTCCGGAGTTGGGACTAAAAGGAGGAAAGGGGGAAATTGAGGAGTTTTTACAGCATTGTTAAAATGCCATAGGTGGGCAGGCCTTAGGCCACACTCACCCTGGTTCAGACAGATTTTTCTGATGGGGCGGACTCTGTTGAAATGGTCTCTGCATAGTGTTATGTATAGTTCTTTTGGGGCAAGACCATTCCCTCCACCTCTGCACCTGCAGATATGAGCCCTGCCTCCTCTCGGCCTTGTCAGTGGTCACATCACCAACCTCTTCTTCAGGGTGGGCACGCCGTAGCTTGGGCACTCCTCACACACCTGCCCTTCAGTGCTTCTTCCCCAAGGGTGGTGGGAAGCCCAGAACATTCTTCTGCCTTCTGAGAACGGAGCACACTGGAGGGGTGGGGCTTCCCCGTCTTCCTTCCAGGCATGTCACATTGGATCCCATGGAAATCTCTAGATTTCCCTGTGCACCTGACTCCACATGCACATGAACCACAGAGTTCAAATGACACATGGCAAGGATCCCTTCTCCTCCCCACAGTGTGTCATACTCCTAGGCTTCGGGACATCCTCCCAGAACTGTGTCTCTACAGCCTCCCCTCTGCTGACAGCATGAGGAACCCCCCTGCTCCTGTCGCTCAGCAGGGGTCCAGACCCCACTTCTCTCAGGCATCCATGGTCCCTCTAAATGGTTCTCATGGCTCAGCCTCCGTCCTCACTCAGGGAAGGGAAAGGAACCTGCCCTTTTTCTCAACCCTCGGCCTCCTCATCATCCTACGCATCTCTTGTTCCCTGTTAGACTGGTGGGTGGGGTCTGGGGTGGGCTGGTTGGTTCAAGAGGACTTGGTTGGTGGTGGGGCCATTTCTGCTGCCTCTTACCAAGCCCTGCAGGGAGGTGGTTGGCTCCAACTGCTGGCAGCTATCTCTAGAACCTGGAGTAATGGAGTGATTAGTTTTGGGCCAGAAGAGTGTTTTAGGATGCTGAAATACATGTATTATAACATTTATCCACAGACAGATGCATAATGATACATGGGTGTATATCCTAGGTTCTAAAAAGGCCAGGATGCTGCTCTGTCATCCTTTTCACGAACAATTCACAAAACCCCATGGACCTAAAGTACACAGAAGTGCAATAGATTCTGATTTTCCCCATGAGTACAGTTTTTGTTTTTCTAAATGTCAAATTTCAAAGTTTAGAAAAAACACACTGGAGCCCTGCATTCCTCGCTCCCTGAGCACAGGTGTCCTGTTGGGGACCCCAGAACCGCACCCCAGTCTTATCGAGAAAGTTAGATGAGTAAATAAATGTGAGAGTATCGACAAATATCCTGTGACCCACAAATACATGCTAGTGTCATGCTTCCATATAATTGTATGTGAGATTGTTACATATGAGCATACTTACCTGTAAGCCATATTTTAGGTGGGTATGTGAAAACAAGTTGGTGTCTGGAATACATTTTTTATTTCATTGGTATATATTGTACCAATCAATTAAGACTATAGCCAGTCTTGAGCCAGACTGAGTGGGTGTTAAAACTGATACTATGATTTTAGGCAAATAGCTTAATCTCTCTGAGCCTCAACTTCCTCATCTGTGAATGGAGATAATAACAGTGTCTACCTCAGGGAGCTGTTGTGAGAATCAAATGGGCTAGTTCATATAAAGACACTTAACCTTAAAAAGTGTCTGGCACTATGGTCAGCTCTCAGAGATGAGCTATTATTATATACTTGTATTAACTACATAAAAAATGGGAAATTTCTTATTTTCTCCTGTATTTCAGACTTTTTAAAAAAATTATTTTAATCATTGTCAGATGTTTTAAATAGAAATTAAATGGATAAAACTAGCCTTTACTTTGTGGTGAAGCTGATTTTTAAACACTTACCTCAAAAATTGCCTGGAGGTAAGGGTTAGAGTAGTGTGAGAAATCTCTTGATATGGCTGGAGTCAGATTTACCTGCAACTGATCAGGGTAGCGATCGATCAGGATTCATACCATTCTGTACCAGCCATTCATTCCAAAGAGCAGGCTAGCACCGCTGAGAATGTACACGAGCATCTGTATTACTCAGACTGTGGCCTGGACACTCATTACTAAGTAACAGACTTGCATACCTCTTTCTTTCCACCCTGACTCACACTTGTTTCCCTTCTGCTGCTTCCTGTTGGCTGCAGGCAGCTCCCTTTGAAAGGCTGCATGTAAAACTAAAAGGGAGAAAACTGTACTTGAACAATGATTGAAATAAAATTTAAAAAAAAAAGGGCTGTGTGTTTGCAGCCTGGCATCAAAGGAAAAAGTTTGACTCAACGATTCTTTCCAAATGGCTTCTCAATATTTCATTTATGGTTTCAGCCTCAGTGCTTTCCTAACCTTCCGACTGTGCAAACCCTTATTAGCTTTATTGACTTACCCGACTCAAATTGATTTCGTTGAATTTTCTGGATCATTTATATATTTATTTCCTTACGTCCTTTCTATTTTTATCTGCCCATGTCAAGCTTTCATTCTAAATTTATTGCAGATGCTAAGTCTTAGCAATCTTGATCTTCTGGCAAATATTTGTCAGGTTGTAATTTTTTTTTATTTGTTATCAACAGCCAAATTTAAACAATGCTAATCTTGTCCTAATTTAGTTTGTATAAGCCCTACTCTTGTTACTGAGAAAAAACAAATGTTAATTTCTGGTTCTCCCCTCCTTGTGTGTTACTCCCCCATCCTTCATGTACTGCAGTTAATTAAAAAAAAAAAAACAAACGGGGGTGGGGGGCAGTGGGAACCGTATTTAGACCTGAACTTTAAACAAAAAGCATTTTGGCAAGAACAGTGAAGTAGAGGTTTGCGGGTAGGAGGCAGTCTGCTGGCCCACTCTCCCTGTTGTCCTCCTTTCCCTGTTTTACCTGGGGGCGTGGTGGGGCTGGTCCCAGCTTGTGGCAGGTGCCCCATGGCATCCCTGAGTGGCAGTCGCTGCCTGTGCATAGGTTTTTGTGGTGGCTGCCGCTACAGGTCGGATTGTATAGGCTGCTGGAGCAGAATTCCCAGTTTTATGTGTCTATATTAGGACTTCCATATCTTGTGTGTATATATTTGCTGGCTGCAGAGGCAGAATTGCGGGCGTGTGGCAAGGGTAGGCAGATGGGAGTGTTGCAGGGGGCTGCTGAGCATGTCGTGAGAGGGTTTCTCAAACCCTAATTTCACTTTCCAAACAGGTGTTTTAACCAGAGGCTAAATTCAGACTCTGGTCCCTCAAGCAAAAGTTTGCCAAAGCTCATGTGTGCGCTCCCTTCCAGGTCGGCTGGTCCCAGGCTGCTCAGGAGCTGTGCTCCCTGCTCATGGCTGCTGGCTGCCATTAGAACAGCATTTTGTTCTCTCTTTTCTTTCTGTCTGGGAACTTGCAGCTCATACCTGGCCCACAGGCCTCAGCTGAAGTTGTGCTTCCTCCAGGAAGCTCTCCCTGACCAGTCCAGCCCAGGGCCACCTCTCAATGGTCTAAACCAGGCATCAGTGCGCTACTGCTTATGGGCCAGATCTAGTGCACTGCCTATTTTTGTAAAGAAACTTTTGTTAGATTGTATAACTATGTACCTGAAACTACTATGAAATGATATTGAATATAAATTGTAATTGAAAAATGAAATCCAAAACCACATGGGTAATATTTAAAGAAAACATATAGCTACATTTATTCATTTACATACTGTCTGTGGCTGCCCTCCAGATACAGTGGGAGAATTGAATGGATGTGAGTGAGACTACAGAAAAAGTTGGGGACCCTCTCCTTCACTGAGAGGGTGTCATGCCTGCATCTTGCAGCATGGTGTGTGATAAATGTTCCTATTTTGCAGCTTGCAAAACTCTCAGTTTTAAATTTAACATAGTCTTTTAGTATTTCCCAGATATTTTGCTCGCTGAACAAATAATCTTGAAATTATACTTGGAGATTGGGGTGAGCTCCCTGCAAGGGACAAAGAGAACTCACAGGCAATTTTATTTTCAAAAGACAACATTCATTCGTCACTGCTGTCAGGTGACGACAGATAAGGCCTTCAGAGCACAGCTCTGTGCCTAAACTTCCTTCCAACCCAGAGCTCACACTCGTTACTGATCTCGGTGTTGAAGCTAAATCCGATCAAATTTCCATATGGATGTGTGAGGATGTAACTTAATCAAATCATTTCTATGGGAGTCTGAATACACACACAATTTTAGAAGGTGAGAACTTACTTTAAACAATAATACTGATGGGGTCTTCCTGGACACTCAGGTGTCCTGCTTTGCAAGAATCCTGTTTGCATGGGAATGAAAGTGAGAATATGCTTAACTCAGTGACCCGGAGCTAGCTTTATTCACTCATCTTCTCTCCTGCCCAGCGGTCAGCCCATCCCCAGGGTGGAGTACACAGAGGAAGAAACGAAAACGTGGGGCGTTGTATTCCGGGAGCTCTCCAAGCTCTATCCCACACATGCTTGCCGGGAGTATTTGAAAAACTTCCCTCTGCTGACTAAATACTGTGGCTACAGGGAAGACAACGTGCCCCAACTTGAAGATGTCTCCATGTTTCTGAAAGGTAAGGCTTCGCACAGGCTTACATCCTGGCCGGCATCCTCATTTGCTTCTGAGGACACGCATCTTCTCTTCTCTGACTCTGACCCTCCTGCCTCCCTCCTATAAGGACCCTAGGACTTATAGAGGCCTGACCCGAATAATCCAGGATCATCTCTCCATCTCTAGATCCTTAACCTAATCACACCTGCAAAGTTCATTTTGCCACATAAGGAAACATAGTCACAGGTTCAGGGGACTTAGACATGGAAATCTTTTGAGGGCCATTATTCAGCTTACCATGGTCTTCAAGTATTGCCACATCTAGCTTTGTGACCTATTATGAATCTGTCCTTTTCTTTCATTTCCGCTGCTATCACCCAAACAGAGGTCCCCATCATTTTGTAACCTGGTTGCCTGTACTCTCCCCTCCACTGCGTCTAAATAAAGCTCCCAAAGCACTACTTTCTTCCTGACATCTCTGTTCAGAAGGTATCAGGGCCTCTCCTTAGTTTTTATTGGGGCTGGCAAACATTTTTTTTTCTCTGTAAGGCCAGATAGTAAATATTTTAGGCTTTGTGGGCTAAGAGGCAAAATTGAGACCATTATGTAGATACTTATATACCATTGAAATGTGACTATTAAAGAATATAAAAACTATTCCTAGCTCATGGGGTATACAAAATTAGGCAGCTAGCTGGATTTGGATGACAGGTCATAGTTTGCTGATCCCTGGTCCATACTGTCAAATTCTGAACTGCTCAGCCTCAATTCATGACCCAGACCCAGCTTTCCAAGTTTGTCTCTTGCCCTGACTGCTGCACAGTTCTAGCCTCCTGTTGTGGCTGCTCTCCACACCTTTGCTTAGGCTCTGACCTGTGCTAAAAGAGTCAACCTACTTTCACCCTGAGAACCACACCAAGCACAGTGGGAGGGTGGACATCATCCGCGACATCGGTTACTGAGGGAACGAGGTCGAGAGTCAGCACCTATTTACATAATGACTTATGTTATGTTTTATTATTATGCTTTTTAAATTGAATGTATTGGGGTGACATGGGTCCACCAAATCATACAGGTTTCAAGTGTACAACTCAACAAAACGTCATCTACACACTGCATCACACGTCTGCCTCCCCAAGCAAAGTCTCTTTCCGTCCCCCTTGTACTCCCCTTTGCCCAGCTCCATCTGCCCCCACTCACCTTGTGTTATTATTTAACTAGATTACATTTCCCCTCATAGACCTGTCTCTGACATGTCCCTGTTTGTCTGCCACAGTGTCATGTGCATGTTATGTATTTGCCTTGGACTTGAATGCTCATATAGGGGATGCTTTTTACTGCATTGTTTCTCAACCCCCAGTACTTAGAAAACCATGTTGTGATTTTTGCCACGTCTGTCTCCCAACTGAACATTTTTATTATGAGAGGTGGTGTAATGCAGCACGGATTCTGGATGCCTCTGCCTTCTGCCAGTGCCTAGCTATGTGACTTAGATGAATTACCTTCACCTTTTTGTGTCTCTGTGTTTCTTCTCTGCAAGTGAAGATAACACTTTCATCTACTTCATGAGGGGGTAGGAGGGAAACTAATTAATATAACTTGAAGCCCTAACATTGTTGTCTGACGCAGATGAGGCACAGCAGAATCTTAGTCACTGTTACCGTGGTCGTCGTTGCTGCCGTCAGTGCGGTTTCCCCGCCCTCCGAGAAGTGGGAGTGCAGCCGGCACCGCTCACTGGCACACAGCAGGCGCAGTGTCAGTGTGTGTGTGGTTATTGCTTTTAACTGACTGACTCTTAAAATACCCAATTTATTGGAAAAGGAAACTTTTTAGGCAATGGTGTCTGCAAAGTCAAATTGATGTGATAGATACATATTTAAAAAAATATTTCATATAAAAATAAATTGCATAACTATTAAAGAATATTCCTGTGTGTATCACCACTTGTGTCCCACATGTGGGGTACACTGGCTTAACTGACATAAGTCAAAGAAGAAAATACACTTATTTATCTTTTTGATATCCAATGGGGAACAATCTAAAATGAAAGCTTTGGAACAAGCATTAAAACTGTTAGAATTACAGGTCCAGGGAGGCCCGAGGACAGGGTTATTTCCTCGTAGATGCCAGAAACTCCAGGGGACTTGTTTCATAAGCTTCATTGTCTTTTTGTCTTTATAAACCATTTATGACCATTCTAAGGTATGCCCCTAATGAGGGGAGGTTTTCGGAAGGGGAGCCTTGAGTGTGCAGGTATCTGAGGCAAGAGTAGCCGCCTGTTGGAAACGTTCCAGGCCTTCATGAAAAGGAAGTGGTGTGTAGCCCTTAAACTGGGAACACTGATCGTCTATCTGCAGCCTAACTGAGTTAACAGTATAGAGTGGTTCATAGATTTTATTATATTCTGTGTATTTTATTCTCTCTTACAAGAAACCAGTAAAGCACACAGAGCTTTAGTGTATCTCTTCAGATTGTGGTCATTGATGTGACTATTTTCATAATATCACAGAAAACAACAATACAGAATGAAGGAATTAGGTGGTATTGACAAAAGAAGGCTGGGATGGGAACTGATCCCATGGTGCTTGTAAAGGGAGGGATTAGCTGTGTTAACTGACCACACTTTAGAAAGATACCAGCTAATACATGGTAAGCATCACCTTAGATTGTCATCTTCTCCTGTGTGTTGAGCTTTCTTGTCTAATTTGGCTACTGAATTTAAGTCCTTTAAGTATCTTTTCACTTTTTCTTCCATTTTCACCAATGTCTTGTTCCTCTGGAAACCATCATTCGACAGTGTAGCTGAGTAATCAGATGCCACAAACGTGACAGTTGTTAACAGTGGAGTTGATCCTTGAACAACAAAGGGGCCCCCAGCAGAGCTGAAAATCCACGTATAACTGGACTCCACAGTTGGCTCTTCCCACCCAGGATTCAACCATCTGCAGATCAAAAACAGTATTTTTGATCTGGGGTTGGGAAAACGTAGCTGGGAATGTGAAAATGGTTTTTCTGATCCGCAGTTAGTCCATCTGCAAGTGTGGAAACTGTAGAGAGGACGGGCCAACTGCATTTGTTGAAATAAACCTCTGTATAAGTGAATACGTATACATTCATTCACACCCATGTGGCTCAAGGGTCAACTGTATACGTCATTTAATTGTCAAGAGTTTTAGGACCTTCATTATTTTGTTTCTAGAACATTTCTTATAAATGATAGGAAGCCCTGCTTGGGCCCTCAAGTCCTATTGGCTTATGCTTTAGTTGGCTCTTTCTGTTGTCTCTTTAGAAAGATCTGGCTTCACGGTGAGGCCAGTGGCTGGATATCTGAGTCCCCGAGACTTTCTGGCAGGACTGGCCTACAGGGTGTTCCACTGCACCCAGTACATCCGGCATGGCTCGGACCCCCTCTACACCCCAGAACCGTGAGTACCCACACTGGGGGCCTAGGCTGGATGGAGACCCCACACTGTGAAGTAGTTAATGTTCACTTTACCTGAAAGTGACTTAAGCCTCTTTTCCTCCTAAGTTCACTCATCTAGCTGGTGAGAGGCAAAGCCTTCACCTGGGGAAGGAAGAAGTTACTGAAAGACCAGACTCCTCAGCTATGTCTATTAGCCTCTGATGTTCTTTCTCCAGGTTCTCTTTCTAACTTTAGCCCAACACTGAGCCTTTTGCTTGGGCCCGGCTGTTGATGACATTGTTCCTTAAGCCACACGTGGTGTTTATAAAGCCATGGTCCCTATAGACAGTTAGGACAGTGTTGCATCGAAAGAAGCAGGACTCACACCAAAAGTCCAATAAGAGGATAATTCCTACATTGCAGGCTCTAACCTCATCAACTCATTTAATCCACATAGCAATGCTGTGATGTAGGTACTGTTATTATCTCCATTTTACTGATGAGGAGATGCAGGCTCAGAGGGGCAAAGTAAATGTGGACACATGTGCCTTTCCCATGAGGAGGCTTTCCTCATGCTAAACAGGTCACATATGCATGGCAACTCTTATTACTAATCCCCTCTCCTTTCATCTTTACATCACCCCCAAACTCAGAACTCTGAGCTGTGATCTCCCTGCTGTCCTAGTTTCTTGGACACTTCCCCAGGCCTACCCCCTACCTCTAGATTCATGTGGGGTTTGTGATTCTTTGTCTTCTTTTTTAATCCTCACCCAGTGATAGGTTTATTGATTTTAAAGAGAGAGGAAGGAGAGAGAGAGAGAGAAAGAGAGAGAAAGAGAGAAAGAGAGAAACATTGATGTGAGAAAGAATTATCAATACGTTGCCTCCTGAACATGTACCAACTGGGAATCAAACCCATGACCTAGGTTAAGTGCCCTGACCAGGGATCAAACCTACAACCTTTAGGTGTATGGGATGATGCTCCAACCAATAGAGCAACACAGTCAGGGCAGGTTTGTGATTCTTCTTAGGCTCTGCCAGCTTTCTGCCCGAGATTCATCTTTAGGACTTTTAACCTACCTCCTCTGAACAATGAATGGGCTAAAAGCACAGAGAGAAGCAAGTGATACTGCTGAACTGCTCTGTCGTGGGTGGGGACAGAGGACAAGCTGTGAACCTCTTCTTGTTAATGATTATCCTCATGACACATGGCATTGTAGTCTCTCCAAACGCCCTGGGCCCTTTTTCTGAACCTACTGAATTTTCCACTGCCTTCTAGGTGTACATGAGTTTCATCTTCTTTGAAACACTCCCTCACCATCCTGTGCACAATCACTCCTTCCTCAGAAAACCTGCTATTTGCCTTCCTTATTTTCCATCTGTTACATGTATTTAACCATTCTATCTTTTAACATGGTAAACTATGTCTTACATCTTCCTTGAAATCATAAACTACTTGAGTGGTCCAAATTGTATATTTTTTCTGTGCTTTAAAAAAGTTGCATAAACATTTATTGGAAGGCTTGGATGTGCTCGGATTGTCTGGGACAAGACACAGTCCCTGCTCTGCTGGAAGAATGGGACAGACAATGGTCAGCATATAAACAGATAGATCAGTGATCACCAACTTTCTTCATCTCATGGCACATATAAACTAATTACTAAATTCTTTGGCACACCAAAAAAATATTTTTTTGCTAATTTGACAAAAAACCCCACAAAGGTGTGATTTTGATTTGTTCACACTGAATACCTGTTGTTGTGTTGGCTGTTGCCATTTTTTTATTTAACAATCTGAGGGAAAAGAGGCCAGTGCTTTTGACTAAATAGTCAAATATTGCATGTTTTACAAATTCTTGTGGCACTCCAGTTGAAAATCACTGAGATAGATAAATAGATAATATAGTATCAGGTACAAGTACTATGATATACTAAAAATGATGTGAAGACAACTATAGCAGGGTGAGGAAATGAAGAGTGATGCGAAATGCTTTTTAGGACTGGATAGTAGGGCAGCCTCTTGGAAGGTAACAGGACTATATCCCCGGGGGAGGGGTAGCACATTCCAGGTAGAGAAGAGCAAAAGCAAAGACCCCCTGGGCTCCATTAAAATGATGTCTAACCTTAATCTTATTCTAATTTGTCACCCATTTGTGATAATGTGATTTATAATAAGAAATACATATTTGGTTTTTGTCTCCATTCCTAGTAAAAAGCTTCTAAAACCTTCAAAATTCCCTTGGTGAGAGAGATAATGTTGTCTCTTGCTATATTAATGAGGTTGCTTTTGGAAAGCCCTTAGGTCATCTAAGAAAGTGAGCTGGTCGTCAGGGGATCCAACCCTGTGATTGGAGGGTCGGCACTCACAGTCCCACCCTCCTGGCCTCTAGAGAGCAAAGAGGGCTTGGAGGTTGACCTGGTTGCCAATGGCCAATGATTTAATCAATCATGCCTCTGGAATGAAGCTTCCATAAAATCTCAAAAGGATGGTGTTCATAGAGCTGGGAAGCTCTTCATCCTTCCCATATACATTGTCCTACACATCTCTTCAACAGGAGGTTCATCTGTATCCCATATTGTATCCTTTTCTAATAAACCAGTAATCTGGTAAGTAAAATGTTTCTCTGAGTCATGAGCTACTCTAGCAAATTAATCAAACCTGAGGAGGGGGTCATGGAAACTTCTGATTTATAGCTGGTCAGTCAGAAGCGTAGGGAACAATCTGGACTTATGACTGGTGTCTGAGATCCAAGACCGTGCTTGTTGGTACCTCTAATCTATAGCCAGTAGGTCCAAAGCACAGGTGACAACCTGGACTTGTGACTGGGGAGGACTTGTAGGACTGCACCCTTAACCTGCAGAATCTTTGCCCTCCATGGTTAGTAGTGTCAGAATTGAGTTAAATCATAGGATACCCAGCTGGTTTCTGAGAACTGCTTCTTGTTTGTGGATTTGTTGGAACTGGATCCAGGAATCCAAAAGACATCTGTTCTTCAGGCCACTGGGGCTATCACTTTGCTTAGGATACTGCTTTACTTAAACAATCTTGTGATTAATGGGCTGCCAGGGACTTCCCTGGGAGCAGAGAGCCCTAGGAGGTTTAAGCAGTTAAGTAGCTGATGGGCAGAGATTGCAGCTGAGCCTCCCAAGTCCCCCTCCTCCTTTTCGGTGGGCATGAGGCTCACTGATCAGGTGGGTCCCTGCAGAGTCACTGCATTGTTTTTTTTAGCCCTTTTCAGCTTCCCTGAAAGTGTTTTTAGGGTAAACAAAGGTTACTTATAGGACTCAAGACATTTGGAAAAGAAATGCTTCTTAGTGTGGAGTTAGGGCTCAAAGGAGTGTTGTCAGAGTTAGAAAGGCAATCTCTAAATCCAGTCCAGAGGGTTTGCAAATGGCCCTGTTTACAAATAGTAGGCACTTTGTTAGTTCCCTTTGAATACCTGGCCCTCCTGAGACCTGTGATAGCGTGCAAATGGGTGCGCAGAGAGAAAGGGCAAAGAAATGAGATTTTAGCCACAGAGGTCTATAAAATTTTGGGATAATGTGTTACATTTTTACCAAAGTACTTTCAGTCAATTCATTCAGCAAACATTTATGTGCAATGCTAGCAGGGAGATGCAGTGGATTCAAATATGAATAAAATATAGCAGGTGTTTTTTAAAGCAGCTCACATTCTGGCAGGGAAGATAGAAACATAAATAATTGTAAAGGACTGTGGTAGGACTATAATGGGGCTGTGTACAAAGTCTGGAGGAGTGGAGAGGAGAGAACAGTCCCCAAAGGCTTTTCACAGGAGGTATAACTGAGTGGAGGTCTGGAAAGGAGGCAGGAAATTCTTTTTGGGGTAAGGCAGGGGTGTGGAGGGAAGGGAACAATTTCAAGTCAAGGAAATAGTAAGTGCAAGGTTGTGGAGGCAAGTAGGGGGCAAAAATGATTGGGGCTCACTGCACCAGAGTGGCCAGAGCATAGGTTATGTATTATTGATGAAATGTTTTTTCAGTCCTTGGTGTAAATGATCATTTGTCAAACTAGGTCCTTTGTGCTGAATTCTGTAGGCAGTAGGGAGATATCCAGGGTTCTCAGGGATGATCAGATCATCTTCTTCGAGAAAGATGATGTGGGTGGAGGCCAGGGAAGTGTGGAGGGTGGACTGGATGGAAAAGCAGACAGGGAACTCACATTGTACTGAAGGAATGTAGTTTATAAGGTGTTGAACTAGGACAGGTCAGTGGGAGAGGACAAGAGGGCACCTGTGTGAAAAACATGCGGGTGAGGAGAGGGGAGGGTCCCTAAGGTGGTGCTGAGGTTTTTAGATTGGGGGGCTGACTTGGCAGCTATTTCTAACAGTGACTGAGAATCCTGGAGGAGGATCCTATGTGGAGGGAAGAGGAAAAGAACAGAGAGAGGAGGATCAGGAATCAGGCGTGTTGTCTTTGTGGCACCCACGGCTGGGACCTTCAGATGGAGAAGCCTCTGGTTTTAGGAAATAAGGGTTGAATTCAGAAGTATTGAGATAAATCAAATCTCTCACCATAGACTTCAGCATTTTCCTCTCCTGACTCCTACTGACACAGACAGGAGGAGACTAAGGCAAAGGATGGAAACTTGGGATTCACTGACTTAGGGCTTTTTTTACAGGCTGTTTTACTATTGGTGGGTTTGATACCATTCTTAAAAAATATTATTATTTTATGAAGAAGGAACTCATGTGCATGGTTCAGAATGCAAAGCTACGAAAGGGTATATACTGTGAGTACTGACTTCCTTTCTCTCCTCTGTCCCCTTGATGCCTACTTCTCCCTCCCTGGAGGCAGCTGCTGCTACCTGTTTCCAGTGCATCCTTCCAGAAACACCCTATACAGACAAAACCCTCAGGAAAGATCCCTCTAATCCTTATGTGTTGAAAAGTCCTAAGTTCCTCCCTGGCTGTGCAGTCTGAGTCTATGGGACACTATACAGGGAGTGCCGTTCCCTGCCAGAGCACTTCCGCAGCCATCATCTTTGTAATGAAATCCCATTTCC